CGCAGTGACATTTGAAGACTATTCGGAGTTGAATTGATTGGAAGAATTTTTCACTTTGTTACACNCTGAAAAAAGGAAATACATTTTGTTGCTTTAGTCAATTTGTTTCCCTGTCTCATGAGAGCCAATGCTTACAATACATGAAGCAGATAACGTTTGATGGATTCGATTTCATCACCACTGTCATCGATCCAATTCAGTGCTGTCATACTCTAGTCTCCTTCATACTTCACCTACTTCGCTTTGTTCCTTCTCTGGAATTACCAGTGCAAATGAATGTGCCTTACGTATTCTGCATTCTCTCAGCCATCTCGATTCATTGTTGAAAAAAAAGACTGCTTGAAGACAGGTGTTTGAATTAACGCAGTGACATTTGAAGACTATTCGGAGTTGAATTGATTGGAAGAATTTTTCACTTTGTTACACCACCCACCGTCGGTTTTAGATGAAGCAAGATTTCACTATGAAATTCACGTTTATCACTTGAATTCATGATGGTTTTGAGACCGTTGCTTTCAAACATTTGCTTATGTGGAACTCAACTCAAATATTTGTGTTCAAGTAGATTTACAGCAGTATACTATGTCGTTCCGTTTCAGTCATCGAAATAATATCATTAAAACAGTTGAACGCTGATTGCCTGTCGACTGAATTTGCAGACGCAATGAAATCGAATAGGCAGATTGAATATCAAATAAAAATGCCCAACGACATGCTAATTTGTTTTCTAGCAGTTCAAATTCACATGCTGTCTTCAATGCCATGAACACGCAGCTGAAACTCATGCTCGTTTTCAGTTTTTATTCAACTGCGTTGCAATGTTTTTGTGCGCATATTAATAATTCTCCTCATCAATAACATGTCTTCAATGTCGTCAGCGCAGCATGCTTCACCTCTTCAGATTGTTCAAAATGGGCTTAGGCAATAGTTTCGTATTGCCTCGAAAGCTAATTCTCCTACGGAGATTACATTTCTGAATACACATTCATGACCGCATCAGATGCATTCATTTAGCATTAATGTATTCACTTTATGTGAATTGTTTTCTATTGTATGCTTTAGGAATACTGAATGCCTGTCAGTCTCATTCAGCATCAACTCACTGCTACTTCAGTGGGAACGTCTAGTTTCATAAATCCTTATTCAGCAAGAGATTGAGCTTTCTGTCTCGTTTTAAATTGGCTCCTGTGAAACCAATCATACTGTTTCGTTATCCATTGCAATGGGATATCAGTAGAACCAGTTCATTTGGTGCGACTTGTCAAAACAGTTCATATTTCAGAAACCCGACGATCAAGTTCAATTGAATCCCAAAGAGGAGATGCAGTCGACAGCTTTGGAAGGTGATATACCTCAGTCAGAACAACAAGTGCAAAAGTCTTCTGTGGCCGAAACAGCTGCATTCATTGCAGGTGCTGCCTCCTTCATCAGCTATTTCGTNCTTTGGAAGGTGATATACCTCAGTCAGAACAACAAGTGCAAAAGTCTTCTGTGGCCGAAACAGCTGCATTCATTGCAGGTGCTGCAATTCTGCCATTGAATCTCTCCTTCATCAGATATTTCGTGGTTAATTACTGAAGGCGATACGAACAAAGCATTACAAACATAATGAATTAGCACCGAATAAGTGTACATCAGTAATAGTTCGTGACTGCGTTGGTTGTAGGAGATATCCATAGTTTAGGTCTGCTCAGAACAAACATTTCTGGATCACTTGTAGAAATCCATTTTCAGCCTGTATGATTCACGGAGTAAGAACATT